CACGTCGAGACGCGTAAGGCCAGCGACTCGTCTAAGAAAGCCCATTTCAGCAGCTTGTACCCGGGTTCGACTTCCAGTCATTAATTTCAAAAGGTTCCTTTTAAATATTCAGTTGTTTATGGTTAATTTGGCAGCAACCTCCATTGTTCATGACTAGCAAAATAGATGCAGACTTGGCATTCACTGCGGTTTTCAGTAACACAATTACCTTTGGGTCTGATTCGAGATTTTTCCATACAAAGTACTAATATTGTTTAATTAGTTTTCTCATTCCATAGGTGGCGGTAACAGATTTATTATAGAGATTTTGTTTCGAAAGTGACTCTCATTGTCGATTAGATCGCCAGGGCTACAATGCGGTATATATAACTCAACTAAGCACTGGTATTGAATGGCAAGAATATTTCTCATCAGAAAACAAGGAACGGTGCTGTTTTGCGTGTAGCCCACTTAAATAGAACTATGCTCGTTAACATCAACGTCTTCACTTCATAACATTGCTTTGTGCGCGCGTGATTTTGTACGTTGCTTTGACGCACCGCTGTAGCAACTTGAAAATACTGCTGGTAGCTTATATGCTTTTCTTTTTTAATTTACTCAAGAAAAGTTAGTATCGATTTGTTGTTCATCAGTGATCTTGAAGCTAAAGCTAAATTCCGATTCAGTGCATTCAGAGTAGTAGCTTCTGTGAGGAAGGTGTCCATTTCACAGTTGTTGCTACAAATGTAGAAATGATATGATGCTTAAAATTTGTCGACTCATTTCTTACAACTGCTGAATTATAAACATAGGGCTCTATTCATTTTATCGTTTGACACGAATTATCATCAATTTCAAATGCGCAGCGACATTTCTCTGTAGCACATATATTTGGTTTTTAGGTATTTACTTTATAGTTTGCGCTGCTTCCATTGCTTTTTGTTGTTTTGAAGTACTTTTCAAACAAAGTACTGAAAACAGCTGCATGAAATGTGGAGTAGGGTAAAAATGCGTCATTTATACTACTAACGGAGCAAGGGATTTTTTGCATGATCAGAGTTTCGCATAATGCTATGAACATTTATCAGCTGAAAATAATACACACTGATATTATAACACTATTCTGTTGATAACGTTATTACTAGATTCTCAATTTCAGTTTCACTTGATGAACGTTTGTAACGCACGCAGAAGATTTTGGTCCTGCACCGTAACTCTACTCATATAATAATACCTTATTACTATCATTATAAAAAGTGGTTTCGGTGCAGAACCAGTATTTCATCCATACGTTGCACGCTTTTGGCAGCTTCCGTTATCGTATCGCTTGAGGAGATGACTAGCAACTTTAGAGTTCATTGTCAAGATTTGGTGCCGTTGAAATTTCGCAGCGGGTGTTCAGAAATAATGTGTTGCATAGTTTGATCTTCATGACTGCCGTCACACTGCGGGCTGGACTTCATCTTCTAGCGATGGAGTAAATATACACAGCACCCCTGTCCTGTTCGAATTCTGTTCAATCTCAACCATTCGTGGCGATTCAGGTCCATGCCACAGGGTTATGTGATCGGGTTGGAGATTAGGAATTTGTTAAGGACCGCTGTAGCGTCCCATTCTGCTTGCCACTGATCCTCGAGATTCAGACGCAGTGTTGTTGCTCCCTCCCGTGGTGGGTGGCGGGATTTTAGGCGTCGTTCTGGTGGCTGTTGGAGAAAACGATGGATGGGTAACTGATGATTCCTGTCAATGTTCTGGAAAATGCGATTCGCTTGCTTGCCCCTCTCTGGAGGTGAGGAGTTTCAGTATGCGCCAGAATCGATAACCAGCGTGTTTGGGTTGGCTTCAGGGTCCCTGTTACAATTCGCATCACTTCATTAAGCGGCGTGTCTAATTTGCTCCAGTGGCAGCTGTGGCACCAAACAGGGGGACAGTTATCCGCGACGGAATACATTAGCTCCAGGCCCGTAGTACGCAGCACGCGGGCAATTGCTCCCCAAGAGGTGCCGGCAAGTTTTCGTAACAAGTTTATTCTCGTCTTGATCTTCTACCGTGTCTTTTCCATTTGTGGTCTAAATAACAGGGTTCGATCAAGAGTGACGCCCAGGTGTTTTGGCGCCGTTTCGTGCTGCGCGTGTTGGCCATAAAACCCAGTTGTTAGTTTCTCCTTCACCAGTCGATTGTTCAGATGAAAAACAGTCGCGCAGGTCTTCGTCGGGTTTCGTGTAGCATCGACTGGTGAAAATATTTTGTCATAATAGAGAGGTCAGACGTGAGTATGCAGCTTGGCATCTGTAAGTCGGTGTGTTCGGTTGCTGCCGCTGTTGCGGGCAGGTCGCTGGTATAGGCGTTAAACAGCGATGGAGGTAGTGCTGCACCTTCTGGGAATCCATTCTTTAGGATCCTTTCCTTGCTGACCCGCTCATCGATGTGAACCTGGCTGCGATAAGGGGACGGGATGTCTGAGACCGTATTATTTCAAAAAATTTCGCAACGACACCGTTGCGTTATACCATGTCATGAGCTACGACAGGTCAGTCTGAACCATCCGTTTTTTTTGTTTGTTTCCGTTTTAATTCTGCTTCAACTGCACCCATATCGAAAGCTAGCTTGTGTCGCCGAGTTGGTGACTTTAAATAGAAGAGAAAGTTGCATCAACAAATTTTGTTCCATCAGTTTCGTGGCTGTGCACGGTAAAGAGATTGGTGCGTATCTGCTGGACTCTCAGGAAGTTATCCGGGTTTTAGGATGGACACGATCTTGGCACGCTGCCAGACGGGCGAAATTTTTTTGGTTGTATGGATTGCCTTGAAAAGAGAGATCAGTCACTGTTGACCTTCCGGGAAAATTTCATCCGTGTCAGCAACCTTACTGTTCTTCGTGGTCAACGGTGCCACGATTTTTTTCTCTAGAGTGTATGGGGCGGATGCGGACTTGTTTCAGGCAGCTGTTACTGTTAAAAATATTCTTTCTGCATTATCGTGTTGGCGGCTTTTTCTGCTGTTTAGACTTATGGAGG